CATGTTGTGTAAAAGCAGTATTTTCACAGCTCACGTCTAGTAGCCATTTCAGGATGGACCTGGGTTTGTGTATTTCCTAAATGGGATGGGAAAAGGCACAACTTAGCACAATAAAGGAGGGGCTTGAGAGCCCAGAGAATACTCTACCTTAAAAAAGAATTTTAATTAAAAAAAAACTAAGACAGGGAGACAGAGACAGAATGAAGGGGACAGAGGTAGCCCTACCCACTAGAAATGAATCTGTAGGGAGAAGTCTCAGCAGAAATTCTTCATTTTTAGTCAATGAAAGCAATATTTCACAGCTCAAGTTCAGTAGCCATCTTGGGATGGGCCTGGAGTTGTGGTTTTCCCACTAGAAATTAATCTATAAGGAGAAGTCTCAGCAGAAAATCTTCTTTTTTGGGGGAGAGGTTTTTGCTATAGGGTGCATGAACTCACCAGACAGAGACAGAAAGCGAGAAATCACCCCCCCAGGGGGGATGACCACTCCACAATCCCTTCTCCTCCATTCTCCTCTCAGGATCTTGGGCACGCACGCACATGCACCAGGCGTGAGTTTTAAGCCACTGGGTCCGGGACTTGAACCATGGTCGACTACATAGGAGTCCAGCAACATAGCCATTACACTAACTGCTGGTCCCCAAAATCTTCATTTTTAGTCAGTGAAAGCAATATTTCACAGCTCAAGTTCAGAAGCAGTCTGGGTTTGTGCTTTTCCCACTAGAAATGAATCTGAAGGGAGAAGTCTCAGCATCCCTGGGGGATGACTACACACCAGTCCCTTTTCCTCCATTCTCTTGGGACTTTGGGCACACATGCACACGCACCCAGCATGAGTTTCAAGTCTCTGGGTCCAAGACTTGAACCACAACTGGCCAGTGAAAGTCCAGTGCCTTAACCACTATGTCATCTGCTGGCCCCTCTTTTTTCTTCCTTTTTTTTTTTTTTTTTGTTTCTATCAGCCTAATACTTAATTTGGAGGGGGACTGATGTCAGAGTATGTGGAATCCTGCTAAAAGAAATGGCTTGACTCCCTTTGCCACATTTTAGTATTCTAAGTTTCTCTTTTAGTGAATGTTGAGTGAAATATTAATGGGCTGAGATAAAAGCATGGGGGAAGTGTTGAGACCTAACATAGTTTAATCCTCCTCTTTCCTCTTCTGCTTTTCTGACTAACTCAACACTTTTTTTCTTCAGTTATGACGTTCCTTCCTTGCTATTTCTTGAACATGCCAGGGGCGTTCCTGTCCCGGATTTTTTACACTCATGCTTCCTTCTTCCTGATACTTTCCCCACAAATCCCCACTAACTTGCCCTCTCACCTCCTTCACACAGTCTCAAATGCCACCATATCTTTGAGGCTTTCCCTGGCCTCTGTGAAAAATACAGCCCTCCCCCGCCCTCAAGTCCATCTGCTTTATTTTGGTAACACCATCTGGCACACAGTGTATTCTGTCTACCTGCATGAGATGGTAACTCCCATGAGGGCAGAGACTCGGATTTGTGCATTTTCGTATCTCCAGTATCTAGAAGAGTGTCCAGAACGGGACCTTCTTTTTTAGTATACTTTTACATGGGGCAATGTTTTTGTTGCTGTTGAAAAAGATTACTGACTGAATTCTGGTGATTGAGAAAAGAACCTTTTTTTCTCTGTGCCACTTAATATATTTTCTTTGCTTTTGGTTGGGTACTTGCTTTCTATTGAAAGCAGATTTAAAAATGAAGATGAGCATATATTGGGTTGTTAGGAAAGTCATGATACATTTTTCCATGGAAAAACATAAATAAATACATTATGACCTTTCCAGTGACCCAGTAATTGAAATGAAACAAGGAGCTGAACTAAAATACTATCAGATAACCTTAATATAAAAAAGTAAATTTATAAAAACTCATTTTTGTTCCCAGGAAATATTTGTCCTTTCTGTATTACATCCCTCAAACCTTCTTGCTTGTTCACATTTTCTGCTGTGACTAAAAGGCCTCATACTTCTCTGTCTCTGAATTCTCATCATGTAGTCTCCCTTCTCCTTTTGCCACTTTTCATTTACTCTTAGTCCTACCTTCAGGGATTCAGCTCAAAAAAAGCATTTCCAGGGTCCAGCAGATGGCATAGTGGCTATGTCACTGAACTCCCACTTAGTTGACCGTGGTTTGAGTCCTGGACCTGGTGGCTTAAACTCATGCTGGGCGTGTGTGTGTGATTGCCCAAGATCCCGAGAGGAGAATGGAGGAGAAGGAGTTGTGGTGTGGCCATCCCCTCTGGGGAATGATTTCTCACTTTCTGTCTCTGTCTGTCTGTCTGGTGAACACATGCACCCTATAGCAAAAACCTCTCAAAAAAATTCCAATCAACTAATCCTTGGCTGTGTTTGCTGTGTTCTTTAAGTCCTTATCGATGGTTGTATTGCTAAGGTGGCCCCCAGTCAGGTAGTCTGTCATGTATTGTTTGTGTTGTTTGTGTATGCGTATTTGTTTATAATTTATTTACATTAAATTGTACATTTTGGAGGGGTACAGTATGGTCTTTCAAAGCAGGCATGTGAAGTGTGTAGTAATCAAATCAAGGACATTGCCCTATTTATCATTTTCAACAAAGAACACTATAGTATGTTGTGTACTTTTGATTTTTATCCTGCTAGTTTTTTCATTATTTTAGGCACATACACACACACACATAATTGACAATGTTTGTTCGTTTTTTACTCTGTTGTAATAAATAATCCTGTACTACAGTTGTTTATATTTTCCAGTTCCATCAGCAGTCCTGTGAGAACTGGGACCTTAGCATATTCTCACTGCCCAGCGCCTAAAAGGCCTTTGAGGACTGTAGGAGACAGCACAGTTTGAAAAAGTTTCAGATAGTTGCTACAGACATGGATGTTTTTAGGTATCACCCTTTTCTTAAATTTGTTGTAGGGAATGTACAGGGGATTGTGTGCGAGGAGAGGGCTGAGAAATCTGCGAGGGGAGGGATGGCCTTTCACTTGTGGAGGGCTACAGTGCTTTCTCTCTTGTCCTCTCAGGATTTTGGGCACATGTACATGCACCTAATGTGTTTTTCAAGACACAGGTCTGGAACTTGGACTTCACAGCCAGCCTTCTGGATTCCAGCCTCCTTCACCATCATGCCACCTGGCTGGCCCAGGTTTCCCCCGCCTTTTTTTGGTTTTGCCATAGAGTATGTGCACTTGCCAGACAGAGACAGAGAAAGGAAAATGGAGAAGTCACATATCCCCACCAGGGAGATTGACCACACGACAATCCCTTCTCCTCCATTGTTCGTTCTCCTGGAATCTTGGGCACATGCGCACCAGGGATGATTTTCAAGCCACCAGGTACAGGACTCAAACTGTGGTTGGCCATGGGGAATCCAGTGCTTCAACTGCCAGGCCCGCTGTTGGCCTCCAGGTTTCACTTTTTTAAACAGAAATCTTTTATTTTTTAATTAGCAAAACTGCTCACTAGAGAGAGAGAGACAGAAAGCCTACCCCAATGGGGCAGTCATGTTGTAGTCCTTTTTTCATGTTTCTCCATCCCATCAGGATTTAGAGCATGCATACATATGTGCCCAGCATGTTTTTCAAGCCACTGGAGCCAAGAATTCAACCACAGTCAGCCATGTGGTATCCGTCTTTCCATGTGTAGCACTTAACCGCTGTGGCATGGGGGCTGGCCCTTGCCCTCACTTTGACAGGATTTGATCAAACTCTTTTGGTATCACAGAATCTAGAAGAATGCTACTTCATATCTTTTAAGTTCAACTTAAGTAATTTAGCAAGAGCCATTTTTTCCTCCCTGAAATTTAGTAAATAATATTGTTTTCCTTTAAAGTAGGTGAGTGCTACTGATTAAAAATGGCCATTGTACAGTTTGGGCATCTATGATGCCTAGCTTATAATTTGGGAATCCACCATAGGTGACCTATTATAACCTTAAGAATTTTTTTTTCATTTTATACTTTATAAAATCTGTGGAAATGAGAAAAATACCCAATCCTCCCCGAAGAAAGCAAGCAAAAGCCAAACAAAACTGTAGAAGTGGAAAGTTTAAGATGTTAAAAAGAGTTGAAGACCAAAATTTATAATAATTATACATATACACATTGTTATAAAATAAGAAAACATGTGCATACATATATAAGCAAAACAATTTCATCTTATGAAAATATGTGGTTCTGGTCTCTCTGTGCAGTGTAAGTGCTATACAGAAAGCCAGATCCCACATAGTCAACTATGGTTTGAATCCTGGCCCTGGTGACAATATATGCTATAGAAATGATGTACTCTAATTTTATTAGTCTCTTTTTAAAATATTTGTTTGATTTTTGTTATTATTTGTTATTATTGTTTTTGAATTTGACAAGAGAAGTAGAGAGAGAAAGAAAGAGAGAAGGTGAGAAAACAAGCCCTAGATCTAAGACTCGAACCGTGGTTAGCCATGTGGGAGTCTAGCACCTTAATCACCACACCACCTGCCGGTCCCGACATATTCTAATTTTTTTATACTCTGTTTTCTGAATAAAAATGAAGAACTTCTCATTTTTATTATTTCTATAATTTTAATTATACATGTCATTTGTTGGAGTTCATTTAGTTGGTAATTAACTTTGGTATTAATATCTTGATTATGCTTAAAAAGAATATACATTTTTAAAACATTTTATTTAACTTTCTTTATTTATTCTAATTTAACCAAAGAGGGACAGAGTGAGAGAGAGAGAAAATGAGAAAGTAAGCTGCCATGTCCAGGACTTGGACTGGTCGGCCATGTGGGAGTCCAGTGCCCGTAACTACCACGCCACCTGCTGGTCCTGAAAAGGGTATACATTTTTAAAAGGATGTAATTAGTATGTTGCTTTTTCAGTAGCCATTTCTAAAACTACTGCTTGGCTTTTTTTGTATCTAGTTCTGCTTAAGAGAGCCCTTTAGAAAAATGTTAATTATCTACAAGCATGTGTTAGCTTCTTACGCTTTTCTTTATTTGTTTCAAAATTCTAGGAATTGAAGCCATTTTTCATGAAAGAAGTTGGCAGTCACTTTGATGATTTTGTGACCAATCTCATTGAAAAATCAGCATCATTAGACAACGGCGGGTGTTCTCTCACAACCTTTTCTGTTCTTGAAAGAGAGAAAACCAACTATAGAGCTAAGTAAGCATTTATATTGTTTTATTTTCATGCAAACAGCTATTCTAGTAGTTAGTGTTCAGTGGTCAGAATGTGAACTACAGTAAAAATGCTGGGGTTCACACTCTGCTACCACATTTATTGGCTATGTTGCATTGGAAAAGTTACTTAACCACTTGACTGGGGGGGGTTGTCTTAATGTATGGATTATCATGTATATGCATACCTCTTTTAAGACTAATAAAATCGGGACCAGCAGTTAGCATAATGGCTATATCGCTGGACTCCCACGTAGTCGACCGTGGTTCGAGTCCTGGACCCGATGGTTTAAACTCACGCCGGGCGCGTGTGCGTGCATGCCCAAGATCCCGAGAGGAGAATGGAGGAGAAGGGATTGCGGTATGGCCATCCCCCCTGGGGGGTGATTTCTTGCTTTCTATCTCTGTGTCTCTCTCTCTCTGTCTGGCGAGTGCACGCGCCTTATAGCAGAAACCTCTCCAAAAAAAAAAGAAGACTAATAAAATCATAGAGCCAACACATGAATGCTCTACATGGATGAATTCATTTTAAATATGGATACTGTGACCATCTGCATATTACAGATTAGGAACTGAAGCATAGAGCACTTAAATCTTGTGCAAGATTATAGAGTAGGAATTTGAATCCAGAGTCTGCGTTCTTAACCTCAATGTTATATGGCCCTCTACTATACTTTATTTAATACTTATAATTAAGTACAGTGTAATTAGTATGAATTTTTTAAAATGGATAGTCATCCAGAATAATAAACAAATGCTGACGAAGGCCAGTGTGTGCTAATTTGCCATTCTGTGCTTTCCTCATTTTAAAAAAAAGAAGTATTTATTTTTTAAGTTCTTTTTGTTACCATTTTTTAATTTGACCAGAGAGAGACAGAAAGAGAAAAAAAAGGGACAGAGAGAAAGGGAAAGCCAGAAAGTAAGCTGCCCAGTCTGGGACTTGAACCATGGTCTGCCATGTGGGAATCCAGCACCTTCAAACACCATGCCACCTGCTGGCCCTGCTTTCCTCATTTTTATGCCCTGTGGTCTTTCTGCCATCCTCCTCTCTTCTGGAGAACAGTTATGATTAGTAATAGTTGACAGAGTGCTGGTGACGCTATAAAAAGTCCTGAAAAAGATGAGAATGCTAGATACTGTAATGTTAATTTTTAATAACCAGAGGCGACCTCTAAACCAAGGGGGCTGTTGGGAGCTATTGGAAGTCCTTTGACATAAGGAATGTGTCATAAACATCAGTGTAGTTTTGGACCACAGACTAATAATGATATAAAATATGGCTGGGGTCCTGTGCATGATCTCGATGAGTTCTAGAAAAAGAAGAATGATTGCCAGTGTGGGATGTAGGGAATGCCCTTCCATGCCTTTCTGGGTATGGGGACCCTTTGAGTACTGCTCCAGGTAAACGCATGTCCCATACATTCTATCCTACATAGATGTTCACTTGAGGTAACACGTATAAAACCCTTAACACAATACCTGGACCAGAGTGAAGGGTAGTTAATGATAGATGTTGTAGTTGGTAGTATTCTTTCTTTTCTTTGGAATTAAATTTCTTATATTACTTGAAGTACTTATGTTTTGTTTTTATTTTTTGCTTTTCCCAGAGACCTAAGGGCATCTCCAGAACAAGGAAAGATTTTTGTGGCAAGACGATCTCTCTTAGAGTAAGTATTTTTTAGTTGCTTTTCTTTATTAGTTTGAACTTAAAGAGAAAGGCTACCCTGATTATTAGAATCACTGCTTAATATGAGTAGTTTTTGTATATTCATATAAATCGTTAGTTTTGGTATTGTATTCTGTACATTTGTGATCTTTTACTTCTCCTTCCTGATCTGATTCTGTACCTATTTTCAAAGGAAGAGCTAAGGATAAGAAGGGTTATGTCTTCTGATAAGTTCCTTGAAGGCATGTGCAGAAAATTTGTTACCCAAAGAGCTAGAACAAACCATTTTGAGAGAGCTCTGGAATTTTTGTATTCTGTTTTTTTGAAGAATTTTCTTTTTTTCTTCAATTGCCAGAGGGTATGTATGCTTGCTGGAAAAAGAGTGTGGGAGAAAACATGCCTCGTTGGGATATGATCAAGTTGCAGTCCTTCTTTCTCCATCCCATTAGGATTTGGGGCACACACACATGCGTCCAGAGTGTGTCAGGATCCTTTGGCCAGGATCCCCACCATGGTCGGCCATGCGTTATTCTGCTTCCTGTGCACAATGCTTAACCCCTGTGCCATGGGGCCAGCCTGCTGTCTTGATACATACAATTTCTTTCATCTCTTTTTTAGCTTACCAGTTTAGAGACTTGATAGTTTTCTCAGAACTACTTATTTTAAAATCCTGGTTGCCTAATCCTTTTTTCATAAAATTCACACAATGTAAATTATTTGTGGCAAGTTAATTCGTGAACTTGTAAAAGTATACTGATAAACATTTGTTTTTTAATCTTCTCTTAGACCATTTATTTCTTCATTAGAACACTGCTAAAATTAAGCCTGCATTAGTATAGATCATCTGAAATATTTGGGGGATGGGTTGTGAAAAATTAAATGTCTTTATATACTTTTTTTTTAAAGTACCTTATATTTATCAAAATTTACTTTCTCTGCATCAGATTTTCTCTATCCATACTCTTGATAAGACTAGCATTTTCTAAGCGTATAATATAAAATTCTGTTTCAGTGTTTTACCATATATTATTTGAAGAGATTGTTCTTTTAAAACTCATACTATATAGAGCTGACCCCATGGTCTAGTGGTTAAGGGAGCTGGATCCCATATGGCCAATTGTATGGAATGAGTCCTGGACCTAGTGGCTTGACACATGCTGGGCTCATATACATGCTGGGATCCTGATGAGATGAAGAAATGGAAGAGAATGGATCGCAGTGTGACCACATCCTATCGGGGAGTTCTATTTCTGTCCCTCTGTCACTCTCTAATGAGTACATGGCACCCTCTGGCAAATTTGGAAAAAGAAAAATTGCGTCATGCAAGGTTTTCATATAAAAGGGAAAATCAGTTATTTTGAACATTATGATTAAGATTTTAATAATAGGAGGCCAGCTGGTGATATAATGGTTAAGGTGCTGGACTCTCACATGGCTGACCACGGTTTAAGTCTCAGATCTGGCAGCTTGCTTTCTCACCCCCCCCCACCCCCAATGTCTCTCTCTGGTCAAATTAAAGATAAATAATCTGGTCAAATTTAAAATTAGTTAATTTTCAAAAAAAGATTTTAATAATAGAATTGTATTATTGGAAAAATAAAATGCTTTGATTAAAAAATTTGGAGGCCAGTAGGTAGCATAGTGATTAAGGTACTGGATTCTCACATGGCTGACTATGGTTCAAGACCCAGACCTGGTGTTTTAAAAAATCACAACAAATAAATAAATGTTTAAAAAATAAAAATAAAAAATAAACCTGGAGGACTAAAACAAGTGATTAAAAAAAAGATTAAGAGTTACCACGAGGAATGGAGGTTACAGTGGGTGTTTCCCACATGGCCAGCTACGTGCTTTGAGTCCCAGACCTGGCAGTTTGAAAAACATGCTGGGCACTTGTGTGCGCAAAAACATGCTGGTGACATGTGTGCTCAAAATCCCAAGAGGAGAATGGAGGAGAAGAAGGAATTGTGATATGGTCATCCTCCCCGCCCCCCCACGGGGTAATTTCTCTCTCTCTCGGGATAATTTCTCTCTCTCTCTCTCTCTCTCTCTCACACACACACACACACACACACACACATCCCTGTCTTTCTGGCAAGTACATGTACCCTATAGCAAACTTAAAAAGAAAGGAAGAAAGAGAGAGAGAAAGAAAGAAAAAAAATTTAACCAAGAAAGTAGAATGTTTTCTGTGATTCAGAAAGGTTTTTATTAGAATTTAAATATTTTTATTCCAGAAATGTTATAGTATTTTAGATTCCTCAGAGATATTTAGAAGGTTAGCATACATCTTTTCAAAAACAAGATTAAAAAATTGTTTTAGTTTGCTATAAGATATTTAGGAAAAGTCATCTAGAAAATCATGACTCTTTTAAAAGAAAAGTAGCCCAGTCTTAAATACAAAGTGAACAAAGGGACCAGCAGGTGGTGTGGTGGGTAAAGGCGCTGGACACCCATATGGCTGACCACGATTCAGGTCCTAGACCTGGCAACTTGCTTTCTTACTCACTCTCTCTCTCTTTTTTGCTCTCTCTGGTGAACATATGTGCCTTATAGCAATTTGAAAAATAATGACAAAATTAAATTAAAAAAAAATTTTTTTTTCCCCTGTAGGTTGCCTGTGCTTGCCTGAGAGAGAGACAGACAGACAGAAAGTGAGAAATCACCCCCTGGGGGGATGTCTACGATGCAATCCCTTTTCTATTCTTCTCTTGGGACTTTGGGCATGCAAGCACACACACCCAGTGTTAGCTTTAAGCCACCAGGATTCAAACCACAGTCAACTACATGGGAATCCAGCAGTGTAACCATCATGCCATCTGCTGGTCTCCAAATAAAAAATTCAGTGAGAAGAAAGGAAAAACATTTATAAATGATTATATTTTATAGACTTAGGTGATGGTTGGTTGTCATCATCATCAAAATTCATACATGTTGGGACCAGCAGGTGGTGTGGTACTAGACTCTCCTACATGGCCGACGATGGTTCAAGTCTTGGATATGGCGACTTGCTTTCTTACTTTCTCTCTCCTCCTCTGTGTGTCTCTACCTGGTCAAATTAAAATAAATGAATGAATAAATAAAATTAAATATATAATTCTTTTAAAAATTCATACATGTCAATTTTAATATCTTAGGGATAGATGACTCTGAATACTATATTAAAGGATAGGGAATAGAATGTAAGGGTAGGTTTAAAAAAATTCTTAATGTTTCGCATAGTTTATGTGTTCCCTGCTTTCTTACCTAGAGAACAACCATTTCTGATACGTTTTCAAGAATACAGACCCCTTGTTTATATAAGTGGTATCCATGTTGTTTTCTAGTAGTCAACATCATTTATTAGAAGAACCTGCCCCAAAATCATCCATTACATTTTTGTCTTTGTATTGTCATTTTATGTCTCTGTACTTCAGATTTAATATTGTATATTTATTGTCTTTTTGAGATACTTTGTATAGTGGAGTAAGCATCTTCTAAACTGCGTTGAAACAAAGTGGGAATTTTTTTTAAAGAAAAATTTATTTAATTCCATTTGTTGTTACTATTATTATTTAATTTGATCAGAGAGAGACAGAGAGAGAAAGGGAAAGTGAGAAAGCAAGTTGCCAGGTCCAGGACTTGAACCATGGTCAGCCATGTGGGAATCTAGCACCCTTAACCACCATGCCACCTGTTAGCCCTGTGTTTTGTTTTTTTTTTTTAATTGCCAGACAGTGTGTACACATGTACATGTGCAGGGGTTGGGGGGGGGGGGGGGAGAGAGCGAGAGAGAGAGAGAGAAAGTACCTCCCAATGAGACATAGTCATACTGCGGTCCTTCCCTACATTCTTTTTTCCTGTCAGAATTTTGGGTGCACATGCACGTGCAGCCAGCATGGTTTTCAGCCATGGTTTTCAGGACTGGATTTTAATTGAGGTCAGTCATGTGGAATTTGACTCACAATGTACAGCATCTAATCATTGTGCTACAGGGCCAGCCCTAAAGAGAAGTCTTTAATATGTGTATTTGTTTGGTTTATTTTTTGAGAGATTTTTGCCTTAGGGCATGTGCATTCGCCAGAGAGAGAGGCAGAGACAGTGAGAAGTAAAATGAGAAATCACCCCTTTGGGAAAATGGCCATGCCACAACCCCTTCTCCAACATTTTCCTCCCGGGATCTTGGACATGCATACACATACACCTGGCATGATTTTCAAGCCAACGGGTCCGAGACTTGAACTGTGGTCAGTCATGTGGGAGTCCATTGATGTAACCTCTACACCATCTGCTGGCCCTATAGTACGTTGTTTAAATACAGGGCCCTTGGCCAGTTCTGTGCTGACTGTGTGGTTCAAGTCCTTGATCCAGTGACTTGAGAAACACACCAGATGCATGTGCATATGTGCCCAAACTCCTGACAGGAGGGAGAGGTAGAGGAGAAGGGATTGTGGCATGACTTCTCCATGGGCATGCTTTCTCCTCTCCCTTTCTTGCTCTCTCTCTGGTGAGCATATACATTCCCTTTTCCTCTCTCTCTCTCTCTCTCTCTCTTTGTCTCTCTGTGTTTTTTTTTTTGTTTGTTTGTTTTTTTTGCATGTGTGTATATATACCCTGTGTGTATGTGTGTGTGTTTGTGTGTGTGTACACATGCAGCCTTAGCTTGCAAGGTGCCACTAGGCAAGGTTCAGGCTGGCTGCGTGGTGTGAGGCCTAAGTTCAATTCTTGGTCCATTCTAAAAGCTGACCATGGAGGTGGTCATCTGTAATCCAAGCTGAGGCTGGGGCAAGAGGATCATGACGTGAGTCTCTCAAAAGCATTCATGTCTCTCCCCCCTGCCCTCATAGATGAACCAGTCAATGGCATTAATTTGATCTGTTTGATTTTCATTTATAGTGAGTTGTTTGAAGTGGACCACATCAGAACGATATATCACATGTTTATTGCCCTCCTCATCCTGTTTATCCTCAGCACACTTGTGGTCGATTACATTGATGAAGGAAGGTAAGGTAATAAAAAAGATGGTTAGTTAGTTGTGTGAGAATTTAGGTTTCATTCAATTTTGGTAAAGAGTAATTTGGCTACATTTGCTAAAAATTCTGATGCAGTTGATCTTAGGGTGATACTCCTCTTTCCTGAAGAGTTTTATTATTTTATTTTTAAAATGATCTATTTTAAAATCAATAGTTTCTAGGTAATTTTCCCAAATTAGAGAGTTTTGTGTATATGATTACCAATTTTTGTATGATGCATGTACATTTAAGGTTGTTACTTAAGATACGTTTATTGGCGGGGCCAGCAAGTGGTGTGATGGTTAAGGGCGCTGGATTTCCACATGGCTGACTACGGTTCGAGTCCCGGACCTGGCTGTCTTTCTCACTTTCCCTCTCTCTCTCATTCTGTTCCTCTCTGGTCAAATTAAAATAAATAAATAAACATTAAAAATTAAATAAAATACCGGGACCAGCAGTTAGCATAATGGCTATGTTGCTGGACTCCCACGTAGTCGAGTGTGGTCCGGTTCCCGGACCCGGCAGCTTAAACTCACGCTGGGCGCGTATGCGTGTGTGCCCAAGATCCCGAGAGGAAAATGGAGGAGAAGGGATTGCGGCGTGGCCATCCCCCCGGGGGATGATTTCTCGCTTTCTGTCTGTCTCTCTGTCTGTGTGGCGAGCGCACGTGCCCTATAGCAAAAACCTCTCAAAAAAAAAAAAATTAAATAAAACACCTTTTTTGTAACAAGTTTGCTGCCAGAACACAGATGTTGTGAAAACCACCACTAAATCAAAGCCAGAATGGGAAAGGAGAGGACTCACATCAATATCGTCGTCATTGGACATGTAGATTCCGGCAAGTCCACCACTACTGGCCATCTGATCTACAAATGTGGGATCTACAAAAGAACCATCAAAAAGTTTGAGAAGGAGGCTGTGAGATGGAAAAGGGCTCCTTCAAATATCCCTGGCTCTTGGATAAACTGAAAGCTGAACGTGAGCTTGGTATCACCATTGATATCTCCCTGTGGAAATTTGAGACCAGCAAGCATTATGTGACTCTCATCGATGCCCCAGGACACAGAGACTTTATCAAAAACATGACTACAGGCACATCTCAGGCTGACGGTGCTGTCCTGATTGTTGCTGCTGGTGGGGGGGGGGATTTGAAGCTGGTATCTCTAAGAATGGGCAGTCTCATGAGCATGCCCTTCTGGCTTACACACTGGATATGAAACAACTAATTGTTGGTGTTAACAGAATGGATTATACTGAGCCACCCTACAGTCAGAAGACATACGAGGAAATTGTTAAGGAAGTCAGCACCTACATTAAGAAAATTGGCTACAATCCCAACACAGTAGTGTTTGTGCCAATTTCTGGTTGGAATGGTGACAACATGTTGGAGCCAAGTGCTAATATGCCATGGTTCAAGGGATGGGAAGTCACCCGTAAAGTTGGCAATGCCAGTGGAACTACACTGCTTGAAACTCTGGATTGCATCCTGCCACCAACTCGTCCAACTGAGAAGCCCTTGCATCTGCCCCTCCAGGATGTGTACAAAATTGGTGGTACGGACACTGTCTCTGTCGACCGAGTGGAGACTGGTGTGCTCAAACCTGGTATGGTGGTCACCTTTGCAACCAGTCAATGTGACAACTGAAGTAAAGTCTGTTGAAATGCACCATGAAGCTCTGAGTGAAGCTCTTCCTGGGGACAATGTGGGTTTCAATGTCAGGAACTTGTCTGTCAAAGATGTTCAATGTGGGAACCAGCAGTTAGCGTAATGGCTATGTCGCTGGACTCCCATGTAGTCGACCGCGGTTCGCGTCCCGGACCCGGTGGCTTAGAACTCATGCCAGGCACGTGTGCGTGCGTGCCCAAGATCCCAAGGAGGAGAAGGGATTGTGGCGTGACCATCCCCCCTGGGGGGTGATTTCTCGCTTTCTATCTCTCTGTCTGTCTCTGTCTGTCTGGCGAGTGCACGCGCCCTATAGAGAAAACCTCTCCAAAAAAAAAAAAAGATGTTCAATGCAGCAGTGTTGCTGGTGATAGCAAAAATGACCCACCAATGAATGGAAGCAGTTGGCTTCACTGCTCAGGTGATTATCCTGAACCATCCAGGCCAAATCAGTGCTGGCTGTGCCCCTGTACTGGATTATCACACAGCTCGCATTGCTTGCAAGTTTGCAGAGCTGAAGGAAAAGATTGGTTGCCGTTCTGGTAAAAAGCTGGAAGATGGTCCTGCTGGAAGATGCTCCTAAATTTTTGAAATCTGGTGATGCTGCCTTTGTTGATACGGTTCCTGGCAAGCCCATGTGTGCTGAGAGCTCTGACTATCCTCCTCTGGATTGTCTTGCTGTTCGTGGCATGAGACAGACAGTTGCTGTGGGTGTCATCAGAGCTGTGGACAAGAAGGCTGCGGGAGCTGGCAAGGTCACCAAGTCTGCCCAGAAAGCTCAGAAGGCTAAATGAATATCCCTGATTCCTGCCACCCCAGTCTTCATTGATGGTAGAAGAACAGTCTCAGGGGACCAGCAGTTAGCATAATGGCCATGTCGCTGGGCTCCCATGTAGTTGACCACGGTTCGTGTCCCAGACCCGGTGGCTTAAAACTCACGCCGGGCGCATGTGCGTGTGTGCCCAAGATCCCGAGAGGAGAATGGAGGAGAAGGGATTGCGGCGTGGCCATTCCCCCTGGGGGGTGATTTCTCGCTTTCTATCTCTCTTTCTCTGTCTGGTGAGCGCATGCGCCCTATAGCAAAAAAAAAAAGAAGAAGAACAGCTTCAAAACTGTCTGTCTCAATTGGCCATTAAAGTTAATAGAAAAAGACTGGTTAATGATAATAATACATCGTAAAACCTTAAGAAGGAAAGGAAAATATTTGTGGACCATTTTGTTTTTCTGCATGTGGTAGTTTTAAGTTATTAATTTTTAAAATCAGTACTTGATAATGGAAACAACTTGACCACAACTCTGTGATAGAATTTTGAGACCCATTAAAAGAAAATTTAATGAGAAACCTGTGTCTTCTTTTGGTCAAAAATGAGACTTCATAGAAAAATGTTAAGGCAAAAAGTTGAGTTTGTAATCACTCTTGTATTAAGAACCTGTTGGAACTTTTAAAGAATATGATAATTTAGATAATTTTTTCTGGGTTAGGAGTTAACACAACTCTGTGATAGAATTTTGAGACCCATTAAAAGAAAATTTAATGAGAAACCTGTGTCTTCTTTTGGTCAAAAATGAGACTTCATAGAAAAATGTTAAGGCAAAAAGTTGAGTTTGTAATCACTCTTGTATTAAGAACCTGTTGGAACTTTTAAAGAATATGATAATTTAGATAATTTTTTCTGGGTTAGGAGTTAAGGTCATTTCTCACCTTTCTAAGAAGGCAGAATCTTAGCAGAATGCCTGTTTACATATTTCTCTAGAAGGCCAAATCCTGTAATAATGGCCATGTGTTGTATATGAAATTTTGTAGTTAATCAATATTAAGTAAATTTGTTTGAACAATCTCAAAAAATGAATAAAAATTAAATAATTGCTAGAAAAAGAATTATTTAAAAAAATAAGCTTCTTGAAAATGAAGGGTAAAAATGTGTCTTTTTTTTTTTTTCTTCTTTTGAGAGGTTTTTCGCTACAGTGCACGTGCACTCACCAGACAGACAGAGAGAGACATAGAGACAGAAAGCGAGAAATCACCCCCAGGGGGATGGTCACGCCACAATCCCTTCTCCTCCATTCTCCTCTCGGGATCTTGGGCACGCATGCACATATGCTTGGCGTGAGTTCTAAGCCACCGGGTCCGGGACGCGAACTGCAGCCGACTACGTGGGAATCCAGCGACATAGCCATTACGCTAACTGCTGGTTCCCCAAAAATGTGTCTTTGATGTAAAACTTATTAAAGGATGGTGTGATTATAAATCGAATTAAGAGAATTTTTGGAAAATTAAATTTTGATATAAAGGTAGAATTATATGTTCATAGATTTTAAAATTTTACTTATTTGCTTCTGAAAAATCGTATTTTGCACATGAAATATTTAGTTGAATATTTTGCCATAGAATATTTTAGTGTTTAAAAATATTGAAATAAGAATCTAATCTTTCATAAGTTCATTCTTACTATCTTAGATATCTTAAGTTCAAAGACTATTAGTATTCTTATAAAATAATTGTTGAGATAAACTGTGAAGTGGGGAGTTAGAAGCAGGTCTCTTACCTAGCTGAACTGTTACATTCATGACATCACTGTATTAAAGTTGTTGTGTTTCCTAAGAGAAATGTTTGAATCTGAAAGTTTTGAATATTATGAACTCATTGCATGTTAAGAATCAGCTTATATGTTCTTTCTTTGTGCTTTTCTTCCCCAGGCTGGTGCTGGAGTTCAGTCTCCTGTCTTATGCTTTTGGCAAATTTCCTATTGTTGTTTGGACCTGGTGGGCCATGTTCCTGTCTACGCTTGGAATTCCCTATTTCCTATTTCAACGTTGGGCTAATGACTACACCAGCAGTTCTCACCCAGTGATGCATTCTCTCTTCTATGGCTTCCTTTTCATGGTTTTCCAGATTGGAGGTCTAGGTTTTGTACCAACCTATGTTGTCTTAGCATATACACTTCCTCCAGCCTCCCGGTTCATTGTTATACTTGAACAGGTGAGCTTTTGAGTGTTAACCAGTGCAGTGCTTATGCTTAGTTGAAGTAACAACAACAAAATAAGCTTATTGGAAATCAAGGGTTAAAAAAATATTTGATACTGATTCTGTTATTTTTAGCTGTAGTAACATGGATAAATTTTGATATCTGGTTCTTCTTGTCATTATCTATAAAATTAAAGAGTTAAATTAGATCATCTTAGAGGATTGATTCTAGGCTCAACCATGGCAGTATATGCTGATAGACACTGGCTTGGCAAGCAAAGGCCTTACAGAAGATGCAGTTTGATTTCTGGAGCTCACCCTAAAAATACCAGTGAAGTAGTACCTGCCTATAGTCTCAACTACTCAGGAGGCTGGGGCAAGGGGATTGCAACATAGCAAGACCCTGTCTTTTTTTTTTTTTTAAGAGAGATTTTTCCTAGAGGGCACATGCATTCACTAGAGACACAGAAAGTGAGAAATTACCCCCTACTACCACCACCAAGGGGGTTTGCTATACCACAGTTCCTTCTCCTCTAGGATTTTGGGCATGTACATACATGCACCTGGCATGAGTTTCAAGCCCCTGGGTCTGGGATTCAAACAGCAGTCAGCCATGTGGGAGTCCAGTGACATAACTATTATGCCATCTGCTGGTCTCACAAGACCCTGTCTTTTAAAAAAGAAGGGAAAAAAGATTCATTCTAGTATAAACATTCTCTGAATCTTGATAATGAAAGTAAATTACATTGAACTCTTCTGGATCAAGTAAAATTTTGTTCCCGAATACTTCTTGTAAAAGTAATATAAATTATTAATATTTTTGTAATTAAAAACTGATTTAAAAAAATGTGCCACAATCATTGTTCTGTCATTTAATTGTTTCCATCTAAGTAAAGGATTTTTAAAAAAATTGCTCATACACCCTTCATAATTTTCAGACTGTATTGGCTGTCTGTAATGCTCTATTTGACAAGTGGGAAAGGACCAGTTCAGAAGATTTTCTTCAAATAGACTTTTTAAATTTTTTAATTTATACTATGCCTGTAACAGTGCATAATACTTTGAGTAGTTACATGTCTTTCCTGGGAAGTTTTGTTTTGGATTAATATGCTTTATTCTGTAAAAGTGAACTTGTGTTAATATGTACAAATCTAAGAAGTTCTTTCGTATGAATATAATTCAGTGGTTTTGGGGGGGTGTCACTTTTAGGATATAAGACAATAATAGAAAATTCATCTTTCTTTTTCCCCTCCTTTTGTAGATTCGTTTGATAATGAAGGCCCACTCATTTGTCAGAGAGAATGTGCCTCGAGTCCTAAATTCAGCAAAGGAGAAATCAAGTATGTAATCCCATTAGGCTAATGGATTATTTATTTATTATTTTTTAAGTGATTCTTTTTTTGTTAAAGAATTATTTATTTATCATTTTTAATTTTCTGTAGGACACATCCACTCACCAGGGAGAGTGGGCCAGCAGATGGCATAATAGTTATGTTGTTGGACTCCCACATGGTCAACCACGATCTGAGTCCTAGATGTGACTTGAAACACACTGGGTGCGTGGGCATATGTGCCCAAGATCAAGGGAGGAGAATGGAGGAGAAGGGATTGTGGCATGGCCATCCCCCCGGGGATGATCTTTCATTTTCTTTCTCACTGTCTCTCTCTATGGTGAGAGCACACACTCTAAGGCAAAAACCTCTTTAAAAAAAGCAAGAGACAGACAGAGGGAAAGTGAAAAAGCAAGGTGTCAGGTCCAGGACTCAAACTATAGTTGGCCATATGGGAGTCCAGCGCCTTAACCACCATGCCACCTGCTGGCCCCAGGTTAAAGGATTATTAGATAGGATATTTCATACTGTGATATTTATTGGGATTGGTATATCACATTCTGTAGGGATTATGTTTGATTTAAAATATATAGAATCTATTATATATTGACTTTGAACACTCACTTTTTCCTAATTTTCTCTTCTTGCCCTTATACCTACAATTAAAAAGATAATTATTTTGTAACTTTACATTATTTTTGTGGGATGTTAATAGCCTCATTACATCTGTGCCTTACGTATTCTTTGCAAATTACTGTTTTAACTCTAAAAGTTATCTCAGTAATAACTTGGTTTAGAAAGATTATTAATCAGTACCAGAATAAGAACTAATTTTAGGAAATGAGGAAGAAACAAAGTGGACTAAGAGAGGTTATTTTATTTTTCCCTGATCTGTGCTACCTTATTTTCCTCTTTTAGTTTGGTTGAGAGAAATCAAAGAGCCTTTGATCTAAGTATCGTTTTCCTTCTCTAGGTACTATTCCAATACCCACAGTCAACCAGTACTTGTACTTCTTGTTCGCCCCTACCCTTATCTACCGGGACAGCTATCCCAGGTAATGGCGCTTTGTTGCAGTATATGATAAGCACCAGAAGTGTGGCACAGTGAGTTAGGATAGGTAGGCAGGGCGGGTTCATACAGGACTCCAGGAACATAGAATGAATGGGTGTTCATTTTTCTCTCTGGCATGGGGAGCCTCCAGTGGTAACTCTGTCAGTCTCATTTGATTACAGCTCTTGATAGGATTGTATTTCGTGTTAGCCCTAAGTAATAATCTGTATGGAAAAATATTAATTGCAAGGATATTTATTAAAGTTCAATTATTTACTTTATTTAGACAACTTATTTTGGTTCTTCCTTTTTTAGGACTCCCACTGTAAGATGGGGATATGTTGCTATGCAGTTTGCACAGGTAAATTTCTCCTAACACATAAGATGTGTTGAAGGAGATATATTTATATTTATAATAACGTAATTTTTTTTCGTATTTATAATAATAATCTATGTAAAGTGCAGATAAATTTAGGGACACTGGGAGTTCAGGAATATTTTCTCTTTAAGACTAGAAGTCTTTCAAACTGTTCCCAGTACGGCAAATAGTGTTTGGCTAGCACCCATAGCAATTTTCTCAAATAAAAGGCTACTTTAATTAGAGTACTTCTATATGGTTATTTCAGTAAGCTTCTAATTAATTTCTTCCCTCCCCTTTTGTTTTTAAAATGTACATATGTTTAAGTGTGATCTAAGACCCACAATTCTACCTTACCTCCTTATCAGTCATAAATCTCAAAAGATCCCATTTTAAATTCCTTCCTCAGTCAAACATGTAGCAAGAAAACCAAGTTCTAAGAGTGTGATCTTTTAAAAATGTCACTTGGTAAAGAGTTAGGAAAAGGTAAGATAGAAACAAGGCTTGAGTAATCTCTCTCAAAGATTATGTCAGTTTTATATACAGTGTTACATGGATTACATTAGCAGGTCAGGGATCACAAATGTGTTTTCTTTTAGAGGAAAAAATAGTTCTCTTTCCTTTTCCAAGCAGTCATTATTATAATTATCTATTCATTTGTTCCAGGTTTTTGGTTGCCTTTTTTATGTGTACTACATCTTTGAAAGACTCTGTGCTCCCTTGTTCCGGAATATTAAACAGGAGCCCTTCAGTGCTCGCGTTCTGGTCCTATGTGTATTTAACTCCATCTTGCCAGGTAACAATGGGCACTGGTTAATTTTAACATTTTATAAATTCACAAGGAAAATAGAAAGCTGTTGCATATGAGCACCTTTGGTTTACTTGCTGTGAAGTTATTCTACATATCTGTACCCATCTTTACCTCTTTTCTTTTTTTTTTTTTTTAATTTCTCTCAAAAATGAAATGTACTTCTTCCACCTCAGACCGATCTTTCTGTTTATCTGCTGGCCTTCACTCTGTGCACAATCCCTCTTTATGCTTTAGCTTCCTGTTCACTATTCAATTCACTATAATCTTGCTTCTAATCCAAGCAGGCCACTGAAATGCCCTTTTGAAAAATCACTAGTAACTTCCTGCTTCTAAACATAGTAAGTGGAGGGGCCAGCAGGTGGCTGGATTCCCACATGGCTGACGGTGGTTTGGATCCTGGACCTGGCAGCTTGCTTTCTCACTTTCCCCCTCTCTCTCTCTCTCTCTCTCACTCTGCCCCTCTGGTCAAATGAAAATAAATAAATAAATAAAGTTAAATAAAATAATTATTTTAAAAAAAATAACATAGTAAGTGGATTAGCCTTTAACGCAGTTTGACTTCCTTGAAGCATTGGATACCACTTTCCCTCCCCAGCCCCCAGAGGGCTTGTGCACTCACCAGAGAGCCCAGGAAAGCATGTGTACTTCTCAGTGGGCATGGTCACTCCACCATTCCTTCTCCATTTCTCGATCGTGGCAGGAATTTGGGCACATGTACACATGGTACCTGGCGTGGTTCCCAAGGTACCAGGGCTGAGGTTCGAACTACAGTTGCCACATGGGATCTGGTTCCAGTGTACAGCACTTAGCCATTGCACTACAGGGCAGCCACTGACCACAGTTTAAAATATTTCTTGCCACCGTTGTTTACTCCTCCTGTCTTTCAACCACATACCTTAATTTCATAACTCCACTCAGTCCATTTATTTATTATTTTCTAGAGATGTGCAAGTACCTATCATGTGCCAGGTGCTGAGGACATGGCAGTGAACATGACACATGTAATCCTTACCCTCTGGGTGCCTCATTTTAGCTATAGTTTATTCTGTCTTCCCTACATGCTAAGTGTTGGTAATATTTTTTTTGTCATTTACCTTCCCCTCTCTAACTTCCTCCAAGACTTATTCTAATATATCTTGGAACTAAACTTGATATCAGCATCTGTAGTAGGATATGTGTTACATATTTGGGTTCCTTTCTGTGTAGGCTGCAAATTCTCTGAGATCAAGGGTTGTTGTCTGGGAGCCATTCACAGTCTCTCACATAGTGTCTGATAGATAGTAGTGGCTCTGTAAATATTTTTAAATAAGTGAAAGGGATGGACATATATACCTTACAATATAATACAGTATACACTATATACATAGGGTAAACAAAGCGTTTATGGTCTTTGTTTCATATTAGAGATGACATTTAACATTGGGTATTGAAAAATAAGCTTTTGCCTGGCATAAAAGTGGTGAAAAGGTATGTCGTGGTGTGGATGCAAAGACAGAGTATTTTGGAGTGACAGAAGTCCAGTTATGAGCAATGTTTACAACTCTGAGGGTAGGGTCACCAGAGGTAAACTTAGACTAGGTTGTGTTAACTTGTCACTGTTAACATTTGGCACTGAATAATTCCTTATTTGGGGTGACTGTCTTGTGCATTATAGGATGTTCAGCTGCACCCTGGCCTCTAACAACTAGATAGCAGTAGCATAGTCCCACCCTTGGTGTGACAACCAGATATATGACAATGAGAGAGAATTGCAGAATATCTTGCGGGTGGGGGGGTAGGGGCTAAAAATCTCTCTCCTGGTTTTCACTGATTGGTTTAGAGGTATGTAAGGGGGCCAGGTTTTAAAGAGCCTTGGATACCAGCTTAAGCCATACATCTAAGCATTTCTGTTAAAAGCAGAACAGGTCATCTGTTATCTGTAAAACCCACTTGGAAGGAAGTTAATGCTTTGTAAAATTAAAATAGTTCACTTTCGAAAGAATACCATATTGTCTCTAGAAAGTATTTGCTGTAATAATAACTTTTACTTTACAGAATAATCTCAGCTAAACAAATGATGACATATAATTAACTGCTTGGTATGTGAGTGTTTGGAAAGACTGAATATTTGTTAATCTTATCTTTAGGTGTGCTAATGATGTTACTGTCATTTTTTGCCTTTTTGCACTGCTGGCTCAATGCCTTTGCTGAGATGTTGCGCTTTGGCGACAGGATGTTTTATAAGGTAATATATACTTGGACTCATCCTTTAACATTTTATGTATTTCTTATTTTTAAGTATTTGAGCATCATTGGCTCACATTAACAACTTTCTGACACAAAATATGAAATAATTTCCTTTCCTGCATGTTCTACCAGTATTAGGTCTGAGAGTCTGATATAGATACAGTTAGCATAGAGTCATCCATTTTTCTGATAATATAGCTAAGATCTTCTCCCTTTATATAGCGTTGGGTTTCTACTGGACCCCATGAGGGTATATTCGTGATTACTTATGGTGGGAAAGCGTTTGTCCAGAGGGCATTCTGAGACTTCACTGACTGTTTGCTCATTTGAAATTGGCCACTTAGTTCTTAACAGTGGACTCAGCAATTTTCCATTTAAGACTGTTGAATAGTTGATCAGGGAAATAACTTCAACTTCCTTTATTTTGAAAACCATGGATTCTGCTTAAAGTAGTATTCTTTAAAATAAATACTTTAACTTTATTTATTTATTTTAATTTGACAAGGGAGGGATAGAGAGAGAACGAGGGAAGGAGGGAGGGAGGGACAGGGGGAGAAAGAGAGAGAGAGAGAGAGAGAGAGAAAGAGAGAGAGAGAGAGAAAGTGAGAAAGCAAGCCACCAGGTCTGGGACTCGAACTGTAGTTGGCCATGTGGGAGTCCAGCACCCTTAGCCACCACACCACTTGCCAGCCCCTGAAATAGTATTCTTGTATTTCTAAAGTTGGAATTAAGCTCTAGGTTAGAAAGAGTGGTTTATAATGTTCTATAATTCTGCCAAAAGGCCCCCTTGAATTTTGTTGGTTGTTTTGACAATACCCCAAGTCCACCACTCCTTTCTCAAAAGAAACGTGTGGATTAAATGTCTGATTACATTAATACAGACGTAAAATTAGGAGCAAGAGATACATAAAGGGACATTGGAATTTGGAGGAGGCTACTATCTCACTCTGTGTGGTTGTAACTGAAATTTTGCCCTTTATGGGGCCAGCTGTTGGTATGGATGTTAAGGCTCTGGACTCCCACATGACTGACCACGATTTGAATCCTGGACCTGGTGGCTTGAGAATCAAGCTGTGTGTGTGTGTGTGTGTATGTGTGTGTGTGTGTGTGTGTGTGTCCAAAATCTTGAGAGGTAACAGATATATGACAATGAGAGAGAATTGCAGAATATCTTGGGGGTGGGGGGGTAGGGGCTAAAAATCTCTCTCCTGGTTTTCACTGATTGGTTTAGAGGTATGTAAGGGGGCCAGGTTTTAAAGAGCCTTGGATACCAGCTTAAGCCATACATCTAAGCATTTCTGTTAAAAGCAGAACAGGTCATCTGTTATCTGTAAAACCCACTTGGAAGGAAGTTAATGCTTTGTAAAATTAAAATAGTTCACTTTCGAAAGAATACCATATTGTCTCTAGAAAGTATTTGCTGTAATAATAACTTTTACTTTACAGAATAATCTCAGCTAAACAAATGATGACATATAATTAACTGCTTGGTATGTGAGTGTTTGGAAAGACTGAATATTTGTTAATCTTATCTTTAGGTGTGCTAATGATGTTACTGTCATTTTTTGCCTTTTTGCACTGCTGGCTCAATGCCTTTGCTGAGATGTTGCGCTTTGGCGACAGGATGTTTTATAAGGTAATATATACTTGGACTCATCCTTTAACATTTTATGTATTTCTTATTTTTAAGTATTTGAGCATCATTGGCTCACATTAACAACTTTCTGACACAAAATATGAAATAATTTCCTTTCCTGCATGTTCTACCAGTATTAGGTCTGAGAGTCTGATATAGATACAGTTAGCATAGAGTCATCCATTTTTCTGATAATATAGCTAAGATCTTCTCCCTTTATATAGCGTTGGGTTTCTACTGGACCCCATGAGGGTATATTCGTGATTACTTATGGTGGGAAAGCGTTTGTCCAGAGGGCATTCTGAGACTTCACTGACTGTTTGCTCATTTGAAATTGGCCACTTAGTTCTTAACAGTGGACTCAGCAATTTTCCATTTAAGACTGTTGAATAGTTGATCAGGGAAATAACTTCAACTTCCTTTATTTTGAAAACCATGGATTCTGCTTAAAGTAGTATTCTTTAAAATAAATACTTTAACTTTATTTATTTATTTTAATTTGACAAGGGAGGGATAGAGAGAGAACGAGGGAAGGAGGGAGGGAGGGACAGGGGGAGAAAGAGAGAGAGAGAGAGAGAGAGAAAGAGAGAGAGAGAGAGAAAGTGAGAAAGCAAGCCACCAGGTCTGGGACTCGAACTGTAGTTGGCCATGTGGGAGTCCAGCACCCTTAGCCACCACACCACTTGCCAGCCCCTGAAATAGTATTCTTGTATTTCTAAAGTTGGAATTAAGCTCTAGGTTAGAAAGAGTGGTTTATAATGTTCTATAATTCTGCCAAAAGGCCCCCTTGAATTTTGTTGGTTGTTTTGACAATACCCCAAGTCCACCACTCCTTTCTCAAAAGAAACGTGTGGATTAAATGTCTGATTACATTAATACAGACGTAAAATTAGGAGCAAGAGATACATAAAGGGACATTGGAATTTGGAGGAGGCTACTATCTCACTCTGTGTGGTTGTAACTGAAATTTTGCCCTTTATGGGGCCAGCTGTTGGTATGGATGTTAAGGCTCTGGACTCCCACATGACTGACCACGATTTGAATCCTGGACCTGGTGGCTTGAGAATCAAGCTGTGTGTGTGTGTGTATGTGTGTGTGTGTGTGTGTGTGTGTGTCCAAAATCTTGAGAGGTAACTGGAGGATTGGGGTGTGTCCGTTTCCCCTGGGTGATTTCTTTTTCCTCTCTTTCTGGCAAGTGCATGTGTCCTATGGCAAAAACCTAAACAATTTTTTTTTTAACTCTTAATGATACCACCAAACAGCATTCTCTCTTACATGTTAACCAGGTAAGGGGAGGGCTTACTGACTACTGTTATAATTCTGTATATTCTGGTAGCTTCCATCAGCACCTGTTTGCTATGAGACATATTGACGCTAGGACTTAATTATACAGAGCACTAGAATTAATGTCATATTCTACACTAATAATCAAAATGCCTCGTAAGGTTTTTCTGACACCACTGTATAGGTTATCACAACCTGTGTTCTGTATGTATGTTCTTTGGGAACATGCAGAGGTTTTTGCGTTGGTACTATGTGTGTGTCATTTTATACCTTTACCTTTTTTCTCAGGATTGGTGGAACTCCACGTCATACTCCAATTATTACAGGACCTGGAATGTGGTGGTCCATGACTGGCTATATTATTATGCTTACAAGGACTTTCTCTGGGTAAGCAGCAAGATTTAGCTGGTATTACATAAGAAATGGAGATTCTTCCCCAGAAAGTGACATTGAGTAGTTGGAGGTTCTACTTAATTATTCATGAGGAAAGGGTGGTGGTATTTTACTTCAGTTTTCTTATGAGACATCTAAGAACTCTTCTGGTTTAAAACATACTGCTTCGAAACCAGGGCATATGGTACTGGGTCTAATACCATTTTTTTTTTTTTTTACTGGATTTTCTCTCACACGATTATAAAGGAAGAACGCTTCAAGCCCTTGAGGAGGGAAGTGGCCCACCAACAATGGGTCATTTCTTAAAACTCTCATAAGGAAAAAATAACCTCCCTCTAGCTTTTTTTCATTTGTTTTGTTTCATTTAAACATGCAGAAACATCTATGTGTAGATTTATGTCTCTCCCATCAATGGCATGTTTTTCTTTTCTTTTCTTTTCTTTTTTTTTTTTTTGCTATAGGGCGCGTGCGCTCGCCAGACAGACAGACATAGAGACAGAAAGCGAGAAATCACCCCCCAGGGAGGATGGTCACGCCGCAATCCCTTCTCCTCCATTCTCCTCTCAGGATCTTGGGCACGCACGCACACGCGCCCGGCGTGAGATTTAAGCCACCGGGTCCGAGACGCGAACCGCGGTCGACTACGTGGGAGTCCAGCGACATAGCCATTACGCTAACTGCTGGTTCCCAGTGGCATGTTTTTGAGACATCCTTTAGAGCAGAATATATTTCGACTGATGAAGTATAATTGCAAATCTTGTGATTAAAACTGGTGTCTTTGAGGGCTAGCAGGTGGCTGCAAATTAAGGTGGCTGGATTTCCACATGACTGACCGCGGTTTGAGTCCAGGATCCAGCGGCCTGGAAATCATGCCAGACATGTGTGCATACATGCCCAGAATCCCAGGAGAAAAGAATGAAGTCCTTGTTTACAAGGTGACCATTCCCTCTTTGGGATGATAGCTCACTTTCCCTCACTCTGTCTCTTTCTGGCAGCACCCATGCCCTGTGACAAAAACCTAAAACAAAACAAAAAAATGGTGTCTCTGCTTTACAGTTTTTATTGTTAAATAAGGACACCCTTTGGCTGCATCTTGTGGTGGAAACAGGATTGTATTTGAGTGCAGGTCCAATCCTTTTTAAGTGTAATTTCAAATATGAAGTACCTTCCCCCTTCTTAAAAAATGTTTTTTGCTATAGAGCTTGTAGCATCCCCCACAAAGGGATGGCCATGCTGTAATCCCTTTTCCACCTTTTTTTCCCTTGAGATTTGGGGCATGCATGCACACATGCCCGATGTATATTTCTTTTCTTTTGAGAGAGATTTTTGCTGTAGGGCGTGTGCTCACTGGAGTCACAGAGGGAGAGACAGAGAGACAGAAAGTGTGAAATCACTCCCCTGGGGAAATGGCCACGCTGCAATCCCTTCTACTCCATTCTCCTCCTGGGATCTTGGGCACACATGCCCATGCACCTGGTTTGAGGAACTTCAAGTCACCGGATCCAGGACTTGACCCACAGTCATCCATGTTGGAGTCTAGCAGCGTAACGCTATGCCCTCTGCTGGCCCCCGAATGTAGTTTTCAAGCTGCTGGGTCTAGGACTTGAACTGTGCAGTTGGCCATGCAGCCACCTTAACTACCATGTCATTGGCTGGCCTTCCTCTCTAAATCTTAGTTTTGTTTTCTGTGAAAATGGAGAGGATACCTGCCTTATCCACTATACAGTATTACTCTAAATTTGAAATTTTATATATAATTTATATATTAGAAACTATATTTTGTTGACCATATTAGCTTACAAATAGATGTTATTTGTATTTTTGAAAATTACCAGATGTTTGAATATTAATATTTTGGAAAATGCCTCATTTTAATAAAATAAGAATTTATGAGCATTTTTTTATAATTAATAGTTTTGGGTTAATTCAAGAAGTAGACTTGGAAAATCAAACATGAATATAATTAAACAAGGGCCTTTGGCATGTGATTATTAGAAGTCTTATATGGTTCATGATTAATTACTTCAAAAAAATTTTAAATTCTTTTTTAATGGTTTCCTTTCCTGTAGTTTTTCTCGAAAAGATTCAAGTCTGCTGCCATGCTGGCTGTCTTTGCCGTGTCTGCCGTGGTGCACGAGTATGCCCTCGCTGTCTGCTTGAGCTTTTTCTACCCAGTGCTCTTCGTGCTCTTCATGTTCTTTGGAAGTAAGTATCTTACTGTCTATGAACTGGGTGTCATTAAAGTTAGAAAGGAAAGAAACCATAAAATCAATATAGAGGGGCCAGCAGGTAGCAGAGTGGTTAAAGGTACTGGACTCCCACTTGGCTGACCACAGTTTGAGTCTTGGACCTGGCGACTTGCTTTCTCACTTTTCCTCTTTCTCTCTCTCTGTCTCTGGTGGACCCATGTACCCTATTGCAAAATTAAAAAATAATATTGATAACTAAAGTTAATTCTTTTTTAAAAATCAGTATAGAAGGGCTAGATAGTAGTAATGCATTTCAGAGTGTTTGTGTACCAGATGGGCAGAATATTAACTTTCAATAATTTATTCACAACTCTATTTCTAGATATTTAGTTTGAAGTAGGAAAATTAACTAGGTGACTTCTTGAAGTTCTTTGATAACACCGATCTGGTAGATCATGGAAACCTTCAACATTACTTCCCCATTCATAATACTGTCAGTATATACCACCTGCAGAGGGACAAGTTAGAATATAAATAATTCCATGAAATGTACTTTCTTTTTTTCTGGTTTTTTTTTTTTTTTTTTGGAGAGGTTTTTGCTATAGGTCATGTGTGCTCGTCAGAGAGACAGAAAGCGAGAAATCACCCCCCAGGGGGGATGGCCATGCTACAGTCCCTTCTCCTCTATTCTCCTCTTGGGATCTTGGGCATGCATGCACACGCGCCTGGTTTGAGTTTAAGCCACCGGGTCCGAGACTCGAACCGCGACCGACTACATGGGAGTCCAGCGACGTAGCCATTACGCTAATTGCTGGTCCTGAAATGTATTTTCATGTGTTGATTACTGATTTCCTATTAATTGTTGGTTAATGAATTTTAATACTGAAGTTTCATTTTATTTAGAGGACTAGTGACCCAAACAAAGCTTGTATGTAAATAATTGAAGCCTGCTGTAATGCTTAAGTTGTGACAACACACATCTGAGACCCCTCACCCCCTAATACATTGTTCTGATAACTGTATATTTTTTTGTTCTCTTCCTAACTTTAGTGGCTTTCAACTTCCTTGTCAATGATAGTCGGAAAAGACCAATTTGGAATGTTCTGATGTGGACGTCCCTTTTCTTGGGCCAGGGAGTCATTCTGTGCTTTTATTCTCAAGAGTGGTATGCACGTCAGCACTGTCCTCTGAAAAATGTGAGTCAATCATCCAACTGCAGTGCAAAAGTAGCCTATTTGGGGACCAGCAGGTGGCGTGGCGGTTAAGGTGCTGGACATTCCCACAAGGCTGACCACCGTTTGAGTCCCAGACTTGGTAGCTTCCTTTGTCACTTTCCCTCTATCTCTTTCCTCCTCTGTGTCTCTCTCTAGTCAAATTAAAATAAATGAGTGAATAAATAATTATTAAAAAAAGTAACCTATTTGTCCTGATTGTGAGGCTGGGCAGTATTATGAAGAAGGATAGTAGGCCAGCCAGTTGGTGGAGAGTTAAGGTGTCTAGATCCCACATAGCCAAGTGTATGGTTCAAGTCCTGGACCCAGTGTCTTGAAAAACATGCCTTGCACATGTGCACGCATGCCCAGAATCCCAAGAAGAGAGCAGAGAAGGGATTGTGCTATGGCTGTCTCCCCTGAGAGGTGACTTCTCATCTTCCCTCTTTATCTCTGTGTCTCTCTCTCTCTCAAGTGAGTGCATGCTCCTATAGTAAGAACTAAAAAAAGATGATGTGGAATTAATGTTAAAGAGAGGGAACTGTGGAATGTAAGCATAAATTTATTATCTAACCTTAACTGTACATCCAATTTTTCTTTGTGTTTTTTTTTTAAATCGAATTCTTCTCTAGCTTTTTTTTTTCCCTCTCTTTTACTTTTTCTTTCACCCCTTCCAATTTTTTTCCTGTCTTCTAAAAATATAGGTTTTCTCCAGGGTTTTCCCAGCCACCAAACAGCATTTTTCCTTCTTCCTTTGCAAAACAGTAAATTCTTGTACAAATGTGAGACAACACAACACTGAAATGCCTGAGATTCCATTTTTCTTGATTCATATTTTTTGGCTTTCTTTTCTTTTCTTTTTTGTAATTATATTCAGGTTTCATTTATTCTTAGGGCTTTCGTTTTTAACGCTATATGGATAACTCCCAAATTGGGATGAGGGGTTCTATCTGCCTAGTTATTTCTCATAGATACTTATCAGATAATCTGTTTGTTAAGCTTCTCTTCCTTTGAATATATACCCTATTTTAGTTGTCCAACTCTTCCCTGTTTATTTCCTATTAGTCCCCTTAGTGCTTCTGAACTAATTGCTCTTGACTCCAAATTCTGTCTTTGTTTCATATTTGCTCTTTGCATACAGATTCCACATGTCAGATTTGATTCCTCTGTGAAAATTTAGTTTGGATGCTGTTTCTTCCATGAAGCTTTTCAAATTCATTTCCCTTTTTTTCCCCTATTTCTAAACTTTCATAGTACCTTCATCTGCTCCACCTGTAGATAATTCAGTAATTTAAAACCTCTTATTATTGTCATTTGTTTATTTTGTTATCCTTAACATACTACCATTTAGATTTGTTCGGCTACTAAAAGTAGAGCTGTACTAAAATAAAAAGGCAATATGTAATTAGGTTGTCGGGAAAGCCATGACCTAGTTTCCTGTTTCTCTTTGCAAAAACGTGTCATGACTTTTCCGACAACCCTAGAAAGAGATGGTGCTTATGTACAGTTCGGCATCATCACACCTCACCTACACAGTGTAAGCAAGTAAGCTGTTCTTCCTTTCTTCTTTCTCATTGTAGCCCACATTTCTGGATTATGTTCGGCCACGTTCCTGGACTTGTCGTTACGTGTTTTAGAAGCTTAGACTCTGTTTCCGTCCTTGTGTCTGAAGATTGAGTACTCTGCCTGACTTGGGGCCAGCTGTTACTGAAGTCACACCCGGGTTATTTGGAGCACTCCAAGGTTTACAGACGGCTTATTCCATTCCTAGGTCACCTGAAGCTGACCTGTTGGAAGTTCATCGGAGGCTTGTACAATAAAGCAAGACTTTCTTTTTCCTTTTTGGGAGAAGGGAGACTTACAGCTGGAGTAATGACAGATTTTTGCTGTATCATGCATATCATCTTAAGCTTCAGTAATGACATAGCTGTTTTTGTTTCTTGACTCCGTCCAATCAGATTAAATCTTCTCTTTTCTTGGCCAGTGAATTAGCCAAAACAACTCAAGAAGAAATCATTTAAGTACCTCTGGCTTAGGCTTTCTTTCATGCACACTGCTAGAATGTGTTACTAATTAAACATGTACTTGGGGAAGAAAGGAATATAATGTGGGATGATTTTTTGCTACTTCTAGAGGAAAGAGAGAAAAATATTTTGCAAAGATAATCTTGTTAAACATCCTATTTTGAATTCTTTTTCAAAAAGTTCAGTTCTATTTAATATTTACTTTTTCTTCATATAGGTCGTATTTTCTGTGAAGCAAAAACATGCCTTTCACCTTGAATTCTTGAGTTCGCATGAGTAATATATATTGAGGGGATCAGAGTAGGAATAGAAAAAGAAGTGGCACAGGAAAAAGAAAAATGTAAGTCTTAAAATTTCCAAAGTAATTTTTTAAAAAAGGTTTTTGCCATAGGGCACATGAGCTCACCGGAGAGAGACAGAGAAGACAGAAGGAAAGTAAGAAATCACCCGGTGGGGGGGATGGCCATGCCACAGTCTTCTCCTTTCTCTTCCTGGGGTTCTTGGGCATATACCCACATGTGCTTGGCATGATTTTCAAGCCACTGGGCCCAAGACTAGAACCACGGTCAACCATGTGGGAATCCAGCACCTTAACTACTATACCACCTGCTGGCCCCCCAATTTAATTTTTTAAAAAGATTTTTCAGAGTCAATCATGTGTTTAAATTATTTTATCATGGAACTTACATGGAATTTTTTTTATATTTAATTTTGAGATTAAAAACATCTTTTAGGTTATTTTAAACTATCCTTTGGTAAAGTTGTTTTACTGTCTTAATACTGACTTACCTTGAATTATTCTGCAGACTCATGAGTCTGTAATGTAAGTATTAATCACCTCTATTAATATTAAAGTGATTATTAAGAACCCAGAAGCTGGCTTCTGCATTTGCTTAATTGTTATACTTTTAAAAACATGCCTTTCACCTTGAATTCTTGAGTTCGCATGAGTAATATATATTGAGGGGATCAGAGTAGGAATAGAAAAAGAAGTGGCACAGGAAAAAGAAAAATGTAAGTCTTAAAATTTCCAAAGTAATTTTTTAAAAAAGGTTTTTGCCATAGGGCACATGAGCTCACCGGAGAGAGACAGAGAAGACAGAAGGAAAGTAAGAAATCACCCGGTGGGGGGGATGGCCATGCCACAGTCTTCTCCTTTCTCTTCCTGGGGTTCTTGGGCATATACCCACATGTGCTTGGCATGATTTTCAAGCCACTGGGCCCAAGACTAGAACCACGGTCAACCATGTGGGAATCCAGCACCTTAACTACTATACCACCTGCTGGCCCCCCAATGTAATTTTTTAAAAAGATTTTTCAGAGTCAATCATGTGTTTAAATTATTTTATCATGGAACTTACATGGAATTTTTTATATATATAATTTTGAGGTAAAAACATCTTTTAAGTTATTTTAAACTATCCTTTGGTACAGTTATTTTACTGTCTTAATACTGACTTACCTTGAATTATTCTGCAGACTCATGAGTCTGTAATGTAAGTATTAATCACCTCTATTAATATTAAAGTGATTATTAAGAACCCAGAAGCTGGCTTCTGCATTTGCTTAATTGTTATACTTTTAATGGTAGTATATTTTTAGATGAAACAAATTAGTATGCGACCGTTTCAGTGAAATGCTCTTGGTATGTCAGGTTTCTAGGTTATAAAATGCCCATCCCTTATTCATAGTGGCATGTAGGAACTTTATGTGTATGTATGAGGTAAGATTCTGTTTGTAAAGACTGAGCTTTGGAAACGATATCAGAGACCATGTAGTTTAACTTTCCATCCAGAGAAGTGAGACTTTATGAATTATTCAAATGAGTATTATTAATTTAGGGCAGCCATGTGAAAGTTTGTTGGTATTCTAACAGTCCTACTGCTAACCAGAATGTTTTGGGAAGCCTTTTGAATTGTTTAAAGTCAATTTGGGTCTCATAAGATAAATACAGTTTCTGAATAGTCACAGCTTAATTTAGACCACAAGTATCATATTACTTACCCTATCTTTGTTCCAGATAAGTTTAGGCATTTTTCAAACATCAAATCCCACTTCAACAGGCACCAGTGCACTTCCAAGGAGGTTACTTTTAAAAAGCCATTCTGTGTGTTCTCAAGCAGTCATGTGCCGACAATAGCATTGTAATGGAATCGTGAACCCACAATAAGACCGCTTTCATACAGCTTGTAATTTCTTGGATTATAAAAATACAATGTGTCACTCACTTGAATTTAAAATGATATTTTCCATATAAGATTGGTCTAAGATTTGGTTTTGAATAAGCTAGTCTTTTAGAGAAAGTGAATGGAATTCCTAGGTCTATTTCTGTAAAGTAATATTTTAACTGTGCACTCCCAAGAGAGGTCTTCGTTGCTCTGTCATGGTTCTGAATTGACTACTGTATTTGTTGGATCAAGGCTATTTAAAACAAACAAAAAACCCTCATTTTTCCTTTTGTTTACTAGTGATTTTTTTCTGCCCAAAATTTTAAGTGACAATCGATAAATAAGTGTAGAACCACAGACTGTTGAGAAGCTAAGCTAAGGCTGTTCTGCTTTTAGCAAGTCTTTTCTTTAAACCACTACCTACACTTCTAAACAAATAAATAAAAGCTAAAACTCTTGCTAATGTGTATCAGGAAGATTTATTTTTCTTATTTTGCTGAAAATTATTAGTTGAAAATTATTTTTAGTTACAGGATAATACTTTTTTACCTTCTTAGAATTTCTTTTCTGTAAGTTTTAATGATGGTAACCGTTGTTTTGGGTGTGTTATCCAAGAGAACAGCTAAATAAGCATGTTACTTCACTTGCACATTAGATCTCTAATTGGGTCTTTTGGTGCCTTTATTTGTGGGGTAAATTTGTTACGTGATTTTATTCTCAATCATGGATAATGAAACAAGATGGAGTTTTGTTTTGTTGGTAGTGAATTAATGTACTGCATTTGCTTCGGTAAAATTGCCTGGTTCATGTTAGAGTATAATTAGAAAACTGAGGCTGCTTTTAATCTGTGATTACAATATATGGAAGTGAAAGGAATGAAGTAAATATAGCTCCTTGTGGTTGAGATGGTGACAGTGGACCTGAAGGCCTTATTTGAATGGGTCATCCATTCTCTCCTACCCCAAAATATCCTGTGTGAAAACCATGGTGCAGTGAAAAAGAGCATATCTTTGATTAAGATAGCCTGGTACTTTCTAGCAATGTGACCTTGGGCAAAATTGCATCATTTATCAGAGCCAGCCACAGTTTTCCTCATGTGTAAAATGAGGATAATAACTACCTCATAGTGGGCCGGCAGCTGGCATGGTAGTTAGGGATGCTGGACTTCCACATGACCGGCCGCGGTTTGAGTCCCAGATCTGACAGCTTGCTTTCTCACTTTCGCTCTTTCTCTCTCTCACTCTGTCCCTATTTGGTCAAATTAAAAGAAGTAAAGAAAGAAAGTTAAATAAAATAATTCTTTAAAAAAGAAATAAAAATAACTACCTCGTAGCATTGTTGTAGAGCAATACAATAGCCTGGGCAGAAATAGGGTGGCATTATTTTCTTACCCTCCCTAAATTCTAAACCTGAATCCTTATCGTGTGTCTCATTGATATCTTTTTTAAATGTTAATTTTTCAGCCCAACTTGTGACCTAGTGGTTAAGGTGGCTGGATCCCATGTGGCTGTCAATGCAGTTCTAGTCCCATACCTGGTGGCTCGGAAAACACACCAGGTGTGTGTTCATGCATGTCAAAAATCCTAAAACACGGAAAGATGGAGGAGAAGGGATTGCAGCATAACCATGCCCCGTGGGGAGTGCTTTCTTGCTTTCCCTCCCTCTGGCAAACACACACCCCCTAGCAAATTAAAGAAAAAATAAGTAACTTTCAAATGTTGCATGCTCCCAATAATATATACTCCTCCTTTGTAGACTGTCAGGATAATGTGAATTGGCATTGTACCTTCACCTAATAGACTTTCCCATGATGAAATTTATCTAGTCTTTTTTTTTTTTTTTAAAAGGGGGGTTT